TGTTTCACAATTTATATTATGATAAAGATTAAGTAGTGATCAGTATATAAAGTTTACCACAGGCAAATGGAGAGTCTAGTATTTAAAATAAATATTACACATGAAAATCTATAAAAATAGATAAATGCTAACTGCATAAATAAATGGATTCTATCCTTCATTAAATACCAAGTACTTAGAAAAGTCTATCGGAAACAAAGAAATAGAAGCACACAGCCAATCCAGATTGGGTCTTGGGCATTGCATATTCTCTCCCAGACCTGCTGGAAGTGCTCCTTGAGAGAAGGGCCAGGAGTTAGCTCTGAGTATCACCCTATGTGAACCTGAACCCAGAACCCAAAAGAGAATAAAATAGAAAAATATATTAAGTATTTAATGATATACATTACGTGACCAATTTTATTGGATACCTATTATGAATGAAGATGCATCATAGCTTTTTAAAATTTGGGGCTTTGGGGGGCTAGAGCAATAGCACAGCAGGTAGGGCATTTGCATTGCACGCAGACAACCCAGGTTCGATTCCCAGCATCCCATATGGTCCCCTGAGCACCGGCAGGGGTAATTCCTGAGTGCAGATCCAGGAGTAACCCCTGTGCATCACCAGGTGTGACCCAAAAAGCAAAAAATAAATAAATAAAAATAAAAATTTGGGCTTTTGGGGGCCCATACCAAGCTGTGCTCAGGGTTCACTCTTGGCTCTGTGTTCAGGGATCAGTCCTGTGGCTTAGGAGATCAATAGTATGTGGTAACAGGGATTGAACCCAGAGCAGACACATACAAAGTAAGTGCTGTACTATCTCTTCAATGCCTTGGAATTGATTTTGAAATGTTAACAAGAGGATCCATAGAGAGAGTCCAGTGGGTAGGGCATTTGCCTTGTACACAGCCTACTCAGGCTTGAGTCCTGGCCCCTGATGTGGTCAGTCCCCCAAGACCACTAGTATTAATCCTTGAGTGTAGAGTCAGGAATCAGCCCTGATCGATGGGTGTGGTCAAAAACACAAACAAAACTGGCAGCAAAATTATAGTTAGTAGTATCTGGAAACTAAATATATTACTATACCCCACTAATTGGGGTAAAATCAATTCTTCTCCAAGATGTGACAAAAATTCCTTTTTTTTCAGAGTATATAAGATGCAGTCGGAGTAGTCTTTTTAAAAATGTGTATTGTCAAAACATTTATCAGGAAACAAAGAAGAGGAAGAATAAATGAACTAATCATTTGAAACCAGAGACTTGGAAAACAAAAGCAAGACTAAAAAGGACACTTTCAAAAAATAGTAAAAGAACGGAGTTCAATGAACTGTGAAGAAATAACTCCACAGACACAATATTTGTGAAATGAAATTAAAAAGAGAAAATTGCAAGCAAATGAAATGTTCTTGAAGATCTAAGAACAATGAAAGCAGTAGAAAATAAATTTAATGAGATGAAAAACAAAATGTAAAGTATACATTTCTAAAATATATACTGTCAAAAGAAAGATAAGCGTGAACTAGAAAACTTGGAAAGACTGTTTTTGGATCATACCCAGAAATGTTCAGAGCTTTGCTACTGGCTTTGTGCTTAGGGATCACTCCTGGTGGGTTTGGGGACCCTATGGGTTACAGGTAGTCAAACCTGGATGGCCACTTACAAAGCAAGTGCTCTTAGCTGCTGTAGTATTGCTCTGGCTCCAAAATAATTTTTTTTTTTGCTTTTTGAGTCACACCCAGCAATGCTCAGGGGCTATCCCTGGCTCTGCACTAAGGAATTACTCCTGGCAGTGCTTGGGGACCATATGGGATGCCAGGAATTGAACCCAGGTTGGCCACGTGCAAAGCCAACGCCCTACCCACTGTGCTATCATTCAGGTCCCAAAATAAATTTTGTACTCATGATATAGTATATACACATGACAGATTATAATATAGTAGGCCTAAACTTATGTTAAAAACAATTATATCTCAATAAAATGGTTATTTTAACACATGTTTAGTGTCTCATGGGAATTTATGGATGCTGACCTGTGTGACATGATATGGTTAGAAAATTTTAGAGAAATTTGTTCTTTGTTCTTTCCTATTCTATTTAGTACCATGGTTGTGAGAACAATATATATTCAGGAAATCTGTGATGGGGATTTTCCCTTGGAGAACTCCTTGGGATTTCAAAGAGAATGCCTTCTTCCCCACTGGCAGACTTTGGTGGTAGTTCCCCAGGGCCCAGGGGGTGTGGCTCTAAAGGGCCCTGAGCATTACTGGGTGTTACAATAATCCCCAACACAACAGGATCTAAGCAGAATCTCTGCCTGAAATTCACAAAAAGGAGTTCCTGGACCATTTGAGCAGCACTTGGGAGACCCCCCCCCCCCCACCCCGCCAAAATATTCAGAGAAGAAAGGCAACTTAGCAGATGGGCTTGCTCCTATGTTAAGTTGAAGAAACAAAGAAAAGGAATAGACAATTCCAAATATATCTTTAGGATAAAATTAAACTTTCTTGTGTGTGTTCTTTTTAAAATTGTCTGTGCTTGAGAGTTTTAGAATATAAGTAAAATTTAATGAATCTGTTAAAATCTATTTTTAAACAGAAATCAACTTTATTTCCTTAATGTACAGTGTTCATCATAATATTTTTATTTACATAGTTCATGAATAAATATTTTTATTTTAAATTGTGTTAAAATCATTGTATATTATTAATTCTGTTGGGGGTCACACCCATCAGTGCTCAGGGTTTACTCCTGGCATTGTACTAGAGATCACTTGCTTGGCGGGTTCAGCGAACTATATTAGGTGCCAGGGACCAAACCCATTTCAGTTGCATACACTTTGCTATCTCTCAGGTCTCACAACACATATTTTTGACATCACAGGCACAGTGTTTTAGTAATGCAAATCAGGATTAGAGGCTGGGTCAAGCTAAGAAATACAAAGAGAGAAATGATGATTTTTTTTTAGAGTTAATTGGTTTGATTCTTTTTTCTTGTCAAGACTGTAGTATCAATTTTTTTTATTTAAGTGTATAGATACAGACTTCTTGAGTTTTTGCTATATTCCATTAAAAGAAACATTTGTCATATTATAACGACCATAACTGATCACTCAGCTAGAGGGTCTCCACAAAGAAAAAGGATCATCTTGAAATTTGCTGGGGGGGTGGGGGGGAGTTAACATCCCCATTGTTTCCTCATCTTTACCACAAAGAAAAATTCCTGTGATCTTCCGGAATCTCTGATATGATGTATGCCAAAATCACTTGCTCCCCAACTGAAAGCTGATCAGTAGAGAAATAGGATTGATGGTAAAAAGAAAAAAAAAAGACTTTATTCAGGTGTTAGCAAAGAGAGAAGATGATAGTATTTGCCCTCAAAAGTTCCCATTTTACTCAAAGCTTAGGACTAGATGTTTATATAGGACTTGCTGGGAAATAAGTTTGAAGAAATGTAAGGTTATGAGCAGAGCGGGGGTGGAGGGGTGGTCTCTCTGAAGGCTGCCTGGGTGGGCAACAGCGGCCAATGAATCCTGGTGGACCATGACCTGTCCTTTTTCATATGGGCAAACAACCACCCTGCTCCAGGGGATGTATGAGCTGTCTAGGATTCTTTCAGAGGGCTTTCTCTGAGGCTGAGAGGAGTCCTTGGGTGTGAGAATAGGACGGAGTCTTCAATGCTTGCTCCTTTACACATAGAAGGCATTATTTATTTATTTGTTTGTTTTTAATAAAAGGCTTACAGTACAATTCTGAAGTTAACAAAAATAGGTTTTTAAATACCTGTTTAGATGCATCTCTATTCAGAATAAACTGAGCACCAATCAATTTGGAAGAGTTCAAACAGTTATTTTAATATTTCTAAAGTCTTCAAATTGAATTTTAGGTAATTAAAAATGGATTGTAAGTGGTGATTATTTTTATTTAAATTTCTATTAACTCGTTGATAGCTAGAACTGTGGTATTCCTTTCACTTTCAAGTATAATTTTTCCTTAAAGGGACTCACAAACTGGATCAAGTAGGGATGTTGTTAATATGACTTATTACATTAAAATATGTTAGTATCATATTAAATCTTTTAAATTAAGTGCCACATATAAAATATAGACTCCAAAATTTTGTATTTTGAAGATGAAAATTTTGAAGCTTAGAGAAGTTATTTAATATATCTAAGGTCACATAAATTGTGGAAGAATCATCCTCCAAATGATCGCATTATTGCTTCAAAACCAATGCTTTTCACTACACTATAGGTCATAGAATATTGCTGTTGACTGCGGAATAGACTTAAGCTAAACAACTGTTACTTATTGCATTTTGTGAAACAGTTGTTGAACCACTGGCAGCTTAAAAATTAGTCATAACTAGTAGAAATATTGATATCGTAAAAGTTAAATATATTACAAATTTGGTCTTTCCATATGCTTCTGTTCATTTCTCTATGAATATGTCACTGCCTATAAATGTTTACTTCTATATTTATATATTTACTACTATCTGCTATCTATAGATATAAGTAGCAAGTATAAAATTTTTAATCATTTAAAAGATTACTTTTTTAAAAAAAATTTTATTAGTGAAACACCTTGGAGGAGAGTGGGTTGAGTTTCCCTCCCCACCCAGATATCTTATTATCTAGTTCTTACTCTGGAGAACCTGGCAGGCTACCAAAAGTATCCTGTCCACACGGCAGAGTCTGGCAAACTCCCCGTGACGTATTCAATATGCCAAAACCCAGTAACAATGATGGGTCTCATTCTCCTGACCCTGAAAGAGCTTTGAATGTGGCACTTTCTAAAATCTCAGGGCTAGGATGAAGGAGACGTTACTGGTGCCTGCTCGTGGAAATCGATGAACAACAGGATGACAGTGATACAATGATAGCATGATATATGAGATGCAAATTGTGATCCATTGAGAAATTTCTCATTAGCATCTTTTGAATGAAATAAGTGTTTTTATTGTCATAGTATTAAAAAAATTCTCATTCAAAAGTATAAAACAAATTTTCTTTTGTTTTTAGTGATAGCTGAAAGCGGAAGTATAATTACTTTTGTAGCCTTTATTAACTCTGGATATTGTGAAATTTATAGAAATATTATAGCATTTGTGAATCTACACACCAAAATGGTAAGCTTGAAATTGCATTTTCTCTACTTCTTAAATTTATGAACTATAATAAATAATGAATAAAATACTTAGAATGTATTTTCTATATCTATTGGACCTCTGGGATTCTTTTGTGAAATTTCTCTTCAATATTTTGACCACCTTTTGCTTTACTTTTCTTTGAGCCGTGGGATAAGTTACTATGAATTGTAAAATATATAGTGTTCAAAACACATAATAATGGCCGATAATCATAATAAAATATTATTCATATGCTTTTTGGGGCTGGAGCGATAGCACAGCTGGTAGGGCGTTTGCCTTGCATGCGGCCAACACGGTAACCTGGGTTCTATTCCTCCGCCCTTCTCAGAGAACCCGGCAAGCTACCAAGAGTATCTCTCCCAGGCGGCAAAGTCTGGCAAGCTACCTGTGATGTTTTTGATATGCCAAACACAGTAACAAGTCTCACAATGTTACTGGGCCTGCTCCAGCAAATCGATGAACAATGGGAGGACAGTGACAGTGACAGATAAGGTTTTTTAATGAAAAATACAAATTAAAAACATAAGGCACCACTATAAGCATGCTGAATTAGTTAAAAATGTGACCCAGGAATTCTATTCTATTTATTTGCTCACCAGAAATAAAATATGCCTATAAAAAGACAATTTTTATGTTAATAACTGGAAATAATAAAATTATCCATTAACAGCTGACTTGATAGAAACATTGCGGAATAGTCATTCTCACACTGTAATAAAATAACTAATAATACACGGACACATGCAAAGACAAAGATAATATCCTTCCTCCTTCCCTCCCTCCCTCCCTCCCTCCCTCCCTCCCTTCCTCCCCCTTTTCCCTTCTCTCCCTTCCTCCCTCTCTCCTTCCTTCCTTTCCTCTCTCCTTCCTTCCTTTCCTCTCCTTCCTTCCCTCTCTCCTTCCTTCCCTCTGTCCTTCCTTCCTTCCTTCCTTCCTTCCTTCCTTCCTTCCTTCCTTCCTTCCTTCCTGTTCTGGAGCAGCCTAAACAGTAATGTTGCAAAATGATTTTCCCTTTCTTTTCCTTTTTTTTTTTTTTTAGCTTTTTGGGTCACACCTAAAGACGCTCAGGGGTTAATCCTGACACTTACTCAGAAATCAGTTCTGGCAGTGCTCTGGGGACCATATGGGATGCTGAGGATTGTACCCAGGTTGCGAGTGCAAGGCAAATGCCCAACCCACTGCACTATCACTCAGTCCTGGAAAAAATGACTTTTAAAATTGTATTTGGCCCTAAACATAAACATGAATGTCCTAGGATAACTGTAATTGTAACACTAGGTAATGTCGCAAAATGATTTATTTACATTAGAACAAAGTATTCTTTCTTGATCGTTTTCAAAGGTAGCACTGCACTGTCCTGTTCTTCATCGATTTGCTTGAGTGGGCACCAGTAACATCCCCATTGTGAGACTTTTTAATGTTTTTGGCATATCTAATATGACACAGGGAGCTTGCCAGGCTCTGCCATGCAGGCAGGATACTCTAGTAGCTTGCCGAGTTCTCTGAGAGGGGCGGAGGAATCGAACCTGGGTCCATCATCTTCATCATCATCATCATTATCACCATCAACCTGGCCCTGGGCAATCCAGTCTAGCTATTTAGCTTGATCTTGGGCCTGTCTCTCCTCTGAGATTTGGGACACTAAGTCTGACTTGGAACAATCGCTTCCCAGTTTCCAAGTCCGAGCACTGCATCCCTCCCCTCCCCCCCAACACTGCTCTTCTGGGGATATGCCCTCCTTGTCCTGAGATGACGCCAGAACCCCACATGGGAAGCCCTCCCAACGACGGACACCCCTTCTCCCGGGATGATGCCAACTAGGACCTGCTCTGGAATGAGGCTGGATGGGAGGCCAGAGGCCAATGATGCCTGTCCTCCTGGGCATACCGCCCGTGAGGACACGGAGGCAGAGCAGTGAGCTGGCAGCCCTGTGCCCTTCCTCATTAGCTCTGCCATCAATACTCTTTACCGTCACCCTCAGCCTCATCGACGGAGGATGTTGGTAATGACAGTACCCACTCACTGGGTTTTGTCATTGTTTTAAACTAAGAGTCCACAACTATATTTCCACATTTCACAATGCAAATGAAAATTGCCGGATTTTGTTCCATTTACCAACGACTCCCCGCCAAAACTATCCTGTCTCTGATGGGAAAGAGGGGGTGGAGGGGAGCAAGTCTAACACCACCGGAGAACACCCAGAGTCACAGCAACAAGATCTCTGGTTACAAAGAACAAGTGACAAGTGACAGGAAGTGCAAAGAGAGACAGACAGACAGACAGACAGACAGACAGACAGACAAAGACAGAGAGACAGAGACAGAGACAGATGGAGAGACACAGAGAAACACAGAGAGAGAGAGAGAGAGAGAGAGAGAGAGAGAGAGAGAGAGAGAGAGAGAGAGAAACAGACAGACAAACAGACAGATTGGCTCCCTCTCTCCTGATTTGTCTGGTCAAGTCATTCCAGGCCCAGTGGGCACCATTGTAGGACGGGCAGGGGGGCCTCCTCATTGGAGGCCCAGGCATCATTGGCCTATGGCCTCCCATTCAACCTTACTCCGCAGGAGGCTCTGCCGGCATCATCCCAGGAGGAGAGAAACTGTCACTGGGAGGGCCTTGGTCCCGGCATCATCCCAGGGCAAGGAGGCCCCCTGGGAAGGCTTGGTGGAGGTGGGACCATCACCCATCCCTGCAGGAGTAGGATCAGAGAATGTAGTCGGAGAAATCTGGCCTCCTGAAATTCAGCAGTTGTCTTGTCAGGTTTTAGACCTGCTCCTCCATCCACTTCTTTCTTTATTTCTTTTAATTTAATTTTATTTTTATATGGTTGTTCACAATAGTTTCTTGCATTCAATATCCCAACACCAATCCCACCACTATTATACCTTACCTACTACCATTATTTTGAATTTTCCCAACCATCACCCAAGCCTGAACGGGACTGGATAGTTTATTTTGTATGGCTTGTTATGAATAATTCGCTAAAAATGATCAAAACACGTTTCCTTAGAATAAAGTAGGTGAAGATTGTTGCATCTCACCTTGGAGCCATTGAACCCTTGTATAAGAGAGTATTAACATGTTGTTACAGGTTGAGCCTGTGCGCTAATATTTCTTTTAATTGAGATTAGTTGCCTTCTACTTTACATCCTATTCAATGTGTGCTACTCCTAGTACATTATGGTATAGAGTATGAGATGTCAGGCATTCTAAAATTTTAAATAATTGATACAGCTGGAGCTAAATTTTCAAAAGTATTTGATTCAATATAAAAAGAGTTTAATTTTTCTTTATTTGTTGTATTCACTGTAAAATTATGACTCTAAGAGAGAAAGGGAGAGAGAAAGAAAGAAAGAGAGAGACAGGGAGAGAGAATGAACAAAAGAGAGAGAAAGAGAGGGAAAGAGGGAGAGAGACACACACAGAGAGAGAGAGAGAGAGAGAGAGAGAGAGAGAGAGAGAGATCCTCAGGTTAGATATTGGCTTTAGCTTACTGGCCACTGACTCAACCTCAACCCTCTTTCAGTTCTTATGGGTTCTCACTTAAAACATAATCTGGAGTTTCTACTTTTCCTCCAGAACCATGTGTTTTATTGTCTAGTATGCTTTAAATTATATATGAGTTATTAGATTCCTGAGTGAAACTCACTTCCCATCTCATTTTTTTTCAGTCAGAAAAGGCTTTTATTTTTTTTTAAGTCAGAGTAGAACCCCAACCGTTACGGTTTATTCTCTTGACTCTGCTCCTGGCACTATTTATTTTAATTCTCTGTTAATCCAGCAGTGTTCATTGTAATTGGGACTAAATTAAGATATGCTAGGTCATAGAGCAGATTGAGATAAAATTATGGTTGCATAATTGCATCTTAGGATCTTGAAAAAAGGAATTCAATATTTTCTAAACAAATGGGTGAATTAAAAATTTTATTTGCTGGTCATCAAATCACAGTGATTTCTCTTACTTTATATATACTGAACTTGGTTATCGGCTGAGTATTTTTTTTAGTAGAATTTGAGTGCATGTGCAAACGCATTTTTCAGACAGAAATTAAGTTGCTAATTTATTTTAAATGCCATCATACAAAATGTTTGCTTTCAGAAACAATGAGTTTCTGCATTTATTCATTATGTAAAATATTTTATTAAATATTTATATCTCTTACAGAAAAAAGTTCGAAAACTTGTTTATATGGGTACACTTAATGAGAAAGAGTCCTTCGGTGAAATTAGTGTTCTTCTTCAAGTTCCTTTTGCATGCACACTCATTGCTGGAAGTGAAGTTGAGTTGGCAATCATTGAAGATAAGAACATATTTGGTATATACGTGAATAACTTTTAAAAAAAATTGTTATGTAATTTTGATGAGTTTTAAGAAGAGTGGGCGTATTTCACAGGCAAATTGTGATAGACAAGTGTGGGCATAAGTGTTATTTACAAAGGAATCTATCCCTTTATAACTTCATATTCTAACTGGTTTTAATTGTCCTACTTGTACAAGATGTTATCATTAATCCAGAAGGTTTTTGTTTTTAATCTCTCTGTCAATTTCTAATTTCACCAATAGTAACAGTATTTCCTCTCTGGGATATGTGTTGGTTTTTCATCTAAAATTATTACAGCTGTATTTATGGTTCAGCTCACGTACTATTCCTCTTAAGTATAATTCAGATCATAAAATAACATAATAGACTGACACTCAAGGACAGTAGAGACAAGCGCCAGGAATATTGATCCATGGTTAGAAGACTGCCTCCTGAACTGGGGGAGAAGGCAGTTGGAATATAGAAGGGATCACTAAGTCAATGATGGTTGGAGGGCTAGCTCAGGATGGGAGATGTGTGCTGAAAGCAGATAAAGGACCATAGCCTCTCAGTATCTGTATTGCAAACCATAATGCTCAAAAGTAGAGAGAGAGTATGGGGAAAATCTTCTACTATAGAGGCAAGGGGAGGATTGGGGTTTGGGAGGGGGAATACTGAGGTGGACAATGTGCACTGGTGGAGGAATGTTGTTCGATCATTTTATGACTGAAACTGAAATATGAAAGCTTTGTAACTGTATCTCACGGTGCTTCAATAAAAAAATTAAAAAACAAAGTAAAAAAGTATAATTCAGATCAAACGTATATGATGATCAATGTCTTGCATTATCCATGACTATCTGAAATTTTAGAATTATATTAATGTTTAAAATAAACATAAATCATGTTTGATAATCATAAACATAAAATCATGTTATACTCAAGGATTGGGGAAAAACTCACAGTATTGAACACATAGTTGCACTAGCAGGCCTGGTCAGCACGGTATCGTGGGCACAAGCAATTAACATTTACACAGTTGGACCAGGATCAATCTCTGGCCCCTAAGTACTGCTGGGGATGTCTTCGAAAGTTAGAAAATGGAAAAGTAATTAAGGCAAACAAACATTATACTCGAATAGTATTTATGAAATTGGTGGTGAAGCAGAAGTTAATAGGGATTAATCATTATTAGTCATGATGTAATACTTAATGACATAATAGAATATGAAACTACTGTTGAATATACAATAAAAATAGGATTGTAAAACAATGAATTAAAAGTGGAAGAGGAGAAATTTATAGGAATTAATATAATGAGAGGCATATGAATGAACTCAATTAGAAATTTTTCATGGTCAGACGTCTGTGATTGGAGCGCATCCACTTGTTTCAGATTTGTTTTTAACTTCTTCCGGAATAGTGCCTTCTGCCTGCTTAATTCTCCACTTGCTAAACTTCCAATTCATATATACAATTGCAAAGCTATAAATTTAAAGTATAGTGATACATTTTCTTTCCTTTTATGAATATTTAGGTATAAACCTTTCTCAAGGGAAATTGCCCTTAAAATAATTACGAATCATCAGTTTAAATTACAAGATTCTGTCTTAATGTAAGCTATGCTTTTATTTTCCTGTACTAATGACGTAAACTGGTACAAGACAACTTTTTAATTTAAATAAATATTTCACAAATGAAGGAACTTCTTTCGAGTTTATATTAACATATTCTTTCCTGTAGAGTGACCTAAGTTCTACAGATGGCATAGTATAAGGTTTAGTTGGGTTGTTATATTTATGTTTTAAGTTTATTATATATTTTATTCAATTGAGACTAATATTTGTAAAACTATCACTAGATTGTGTACTAATTAGTTACATCAATTATGAGTGACTTTGTGACTGTGTATCTTACAATGATTTTATAAGAAAAATTAAAAATATTCTATAAAGATGAATAAATATAATAGTATATTTTCCACATATTACATTTATTGCTGAAAAATTGGTTTATATCTTTTCCCAAGTATATAAATTTGTTCTGTTTGATCACACATTAATAAAAATTGACTATTACTTAAATGATTATTTTATCAATATATTTACCTAGAGGCAGCAATTAATTTACTATGATCATATACTAGAATCCTAGAAAAAATTACTATAAAAACTTTAAATACTTTGGAGGATTACATATACAACTGAATTACTGCAATCACAGATAGTCAGTAATTAACTTTGTACTGCTTAAAGGAACTTAAAAAGTAATTTTTAAATTTTTTTATTTTGTACATTAGGTCATTAACTTCTGGGAGATAGGAACTATTTTTTTAATCTATGAGTGATTCTCAGAATTTACCATTAAAAATAAGAATAGTTATTAAGTTTAAAAATATAAATATTCTATTCCTGTATAATACTACTGAAATCTAGTTTTTTTCTGGAAGGTATATATTTTTGTCTAGATATAGAATTTATATCTTTAACTGTTTAGGTTATGCATGCCAGCTATTTCAATTTTCCAGTTACCTGAATTTGTAGTTCTCTTAAAACTACTACTTTATAATAAGAAAGAATGTTTTTTAAATAAAAATAAATGACTGTCACTATGTTATATCATTCAGATTTACATGGCTGAAAAATAAGGTATGAGTTTAGCGTGTTTTTCCTAAATAAAAAATTTCAATTGCCAGGTGATACTGGTACTAATGCCCTGAATATTTTTATTTGTTTCTGAAAAGAAAGAATGCCAATTTTTTTGTAACTCATAAAAGATTCTCATAATCAAAGATTGAGGAAGCTAATTATTTTTTTTCTTAAAAAAATAGATAGGACCATTTGGCATTTCAAGGGCAATGAAAAATAGTTTTACCTAAAAAGCTTTTCTTGCTTTGGGTATATGATTCAAATGTTAGAGCACATTCCTGGCCTGGGAAATTCTCCGGGTTCATTCCCTGGCACTGCCTGGCCTGCTTGCACCTTAGGGTGTCACCCTACTTCCTCTCAGCAGCACAAGGCCCCTGGTGACAACTTTAAAATTTCTATTATCCAATACTTTAGCACACTCTCCAAGCTTGGGCAAGTTATAAGCAGGTGTCTCCTTGGTAACGATGTTAGCTGTAGAAGCTTAAACTCAAACAATTTGTCAGAGGAAATGTGTTCCTTAATTCTTTCATTTCCTCTTTTCGTTTTTGTTTCTGATTTATATAAAATTTAAAATTAAAATGTTTCCTAACATAAAAATTAGGTTGAGCACTTAGAAGTGATTTTGCTTCTCACAATTTTTTTTTCTTACTCATTCTGAGCATGGGAAAGAAAGATAAACATTAATTTGAGTAAGATTTTTAACTTTTTTGATATAATTGTTTGGAAATTTAAAATTTTTGTATTGGTTGTTTTGCTGTATATTATTTTTTCCATTAAGCATGTTATTCACAGATTTAACACCTGTTGTGTAATAATTTACATCACTTAAAAGTAGTTTTTAGTTGCAAAACTGTTTATCATAGGAAATAATGAATAAGCAATATCAGTCAGAAAATTGTGATTGGCTAGCTCACTAGTACAGTGAGTAGGGCATTTGTCTTGCATGGAACCAACCTGGGTTTGATCCCTGACACCCGACATGGACCCTTGATCCCTGCCAGGAGTGATCCTGGGAAAAGAGCAAGGAGTAAGCACAGAGCACCTCAAATGTGATCCAAACAAACAGAGAGAAAAGAAAACAAAGTCAACTTGGTAATAAATTGGAACACGCACACACACACACGCACGTATATTGTGTATATATTGTGGCTGACAAATTTTTTAAGATGTCTGTTAAAAGTAATGCTTGGGGGGCTGGAGCGATAGCACAGCAGGTAGGGCGTTTGCCTTGCACGCAGCCAACCCAGGTTCGATTCCCAGCATCCCATATGGTCCCCTGAGCACTGCCAGGAGTAATTCCTGAGTGCGTGAGCCAGGAATAACCCCTGAGCATTGCCGGGTGTGACCAAAAAAGCAAAAAAAAAAAAAAAAGTAATGCTTGGGTGCTTGGGTTTGGATTTTCACTAAATTGTTTTATAAACAAAAATAATAACCATTTAAAGTTTTAGAATTTTTTGTGGGAAGTTCTGATATTAGGAAATATTATGCAACAGAGTTGTTTTAAGCACATTATAAAACAGGAGCACTGAGGTTTTAAATACTATATTTTTTATTTCAGATTTGCATATGAAACCGCTATTGTTCTGATAATAAATGTATTTTTTGATAAATTCTGTATTTATCAAGTCAAAGAATCTGTTTGCATTACCATTTCAGTCCTCTTAATATTTAATTTTAAAATCTTAAGCATAATTTTGTATTCCTATATCTGAAACATTTAAATGTTATATTACCCTAAGTTTTTTAATCTTTTATGACATACATACAGAATTACTAAAAGCGGGATAGGCAATTCATTTCTTGAACCAGATTAACGCGTAGAATGCATTCATTCACTTAGCAAGTTTATAATATCTGCGTTTTTGGATGGTTATTCAATAAGTCTTTCCCCTTCTGTTTGAAAACTCAGTATAATGATGAAAATGTAGTATAATGATTTTATGTCTTAGAATGACCTGTAAGGTATTTATTGAGATATTAATAAATCTGGTCTGAAAAAAATCAAGTATTCGACTTTGATTTATGGTTGATGGGCTTGCATATAACTTGCATTGGTTTTCTATTGGTATAGAAGAAATCACGTTACATTTAACAGCTCAACACAGCACTAATTTATTAGCTCACAGTTTTGTAGTTATGTCTAGACAGGGATCACTGGGTTTTGAGAGTTCTATTCAACAGAAATAAAAGTGTTTATCAGGTTGATTTGTAAATTCTCAAAAGAATTACGCTTCAGAATCAGTTAAATTGACAGAATTCGGTTCCCTGCAGTGCTAGAATTGAGGTCTCTCCTTTCCTGTTAGTTTACTGCTAGAGGTCACTGACCAACTAATGACTCAGTTACTTGGTCCTCTTCTTCCCAACAATG